GAACTGGTACATATTGTAGGGGAAACTCTAGCCAAACATTTCTCCAGAGCTCAGTTTTATTCTCCCACACCTCACTTCCCTCAGTCCTTTATTCTCAAGCTGAGGTGTCTGCTGAGAAAAGCCGCTCTGCGTCTCCCTGGTCTGCTGGGGGGAAGCAGCTAGTGCAGGGTTGCCTCACCCCGTTTGTAAGTAGGGATCTGATGTAAGTCGGATCCATGTAACCCGGGGACTGCCTGTACATTGAATTCTATAAATGTTTTACATTTCATATATATAGGCATTCCATACATACTAAATAAGAGACATTAAATTCAGGGCTAAAAATATAAATGTTTGAGTGTCCTTTTAAAGAGCTAAGTAGAGCAGAGTACAGTTTAAATGAATATTTTTTTTAAATGGAACAAAGTAATGTAAGTGGGGTGCATTAATTCCCAAGGACATGAAATATATTGTCATGTAGGTGCCCTTTGGGAATAACTTATGTATCTTCTATTTAGAAAATAATTTAATTTAAACTTGCACATTTTTCTCATTCGGACTAACTCAACCTTTTTGGAGGTATCTAGCCCGGACTTTATTAAGAGCATCTACTTAGCAAGAAAAATAGTGAAACTCTTAAGATGTGTGTTTTCCATCCCGGGTTTCTTCTATCATCTTTGTAAACTCAGCTTGCGAGTCTGCATTCCAGTTTACAGGAGTCTTATTTTGTCTTGTATAATCAAAGCCACATAAAGCTCACTAGCTCTTGTTTAAGAACCTTTTCACTCAAATGCATTAAACAAAACAAAACCAATGATAGTGTATTCAATTACAAAACAAGAAAATTGCACAACTACAAATTACCTGCTTCAAATTGAAAGGAAAGCAGCGTTCACTTACAATACATGCAATATTCCTAATAATCTAATCTCTCCCCATCATTTCTTATTACAATGGAATTCAAACACAAACAAAGAGCTCCAGGAAATGTATTTCAGTCATCACAGGTCTTTGTGAGAAGCTCAACCATTGTGAAATTCTAAGATACATAAAACTTAATGGATTTTTAAATAATTATTTCTTAAACATAGCTGAAGTCGATCTTAAACATTCACTCTCAAACATTCAAAAGAACTGATGCTTCCACAATGTTAATAAAGCAATTCCATTCAGATCACAGTAGCTTGCCTCACCAGCACTAAAAGCATGACCCCAAGACAGACTCAAATGCTCCCTTCGCCTCCTGCTATGGAGCATGGAAGGGAGCACAGGTCACAAAAACTGCTGCTGGGCTATGCATAGAAGATACGATAGCTGTAGTGGAACTGATGTGCCAAAGGCCAAGTGGACTTTCCAATACAAATCTTTTATTAGTTTTTCAATCATTTCAAAACAAGTCAGTTGTATTACCGCTTATTTCATAGGAAGCATTGCCAATCTTTGAGGGAAATGGGTGAGGTTGCCAGGTGTCCGGTTTTAAACAAATTGAGAAAATATAAATGAGAAAATATAAATGTCCAGTACCTTCTAAATAAGATGTAATGTAGATTGTGATGTAATATCAAGTGTGTCTGGTATTTTTGTTGAAACCATCTTGCAACCCCAGAAATGGGTGGGAAGGACATTTTTTAACAGCCTGGAAAAGCTGCTGAAGAGTAATATAAGTACAGGCAGTTCTACACTACTGCTTAAGTTGATCTAACTTATGTTGTTCAGGGTTGTAGAAAAGGCCCTCTGTCTAGGGTTGCCAGGTGTCTGGTTTTCGCCAGACTGTCCGTTATTTGGGTCCCCTGTCCAGTAAAAAAAAAAAAAAAAAGAAAATACCAGACATGTGAAATGTCCAGTATTTCCTGTTTCCTTCGGATGGAAGCCCAGCGGGGACAATTTTCCCCTGCCGCATCTGGCGGGGGCATGAGGAGTGCAGGACCATTTAATGGCGTAGCGCCCCTCCCCCCCCTTTTTTTTGCTTAACAACTTTGGTCTCCTCCTCCTCCCCCTTTTTTCCCCTCAACAGAATTTTTTCCAGGGTTTTTTTTGGGTTTTTTTTTTTTAAGGTGGGAGGGGTTCGGTATTTTTTTTTAAACCATCTGGCAACACTACCTCTGTCCCGCAAGTGACACAAGTTTCTCACTGTCTATGTTTCTCTCCCACAGATATCGCTTCCACTTCTTGTGGAGGTGCAGCAATAGGAGAGTGCTCCCCCACTGGCCTAATGCTTCTTCACCTGCCAAGCTACAGCCACATGGCTGTGCTGATGTAGTGCTCTAGTGTAGACTTGCCCTCAGTGACATGTAATACAATTCCACATACCACCGCACTCAACTTGATTACATGAGACTGAGTGAGTCAGTCTCAATTGCAGAGTGAGTGGAAAAAATTCATTTTTAATTTATATTTGCAAGGTTAGGCCCTGATCCTACTCTTGAATCCATGGAGCTGTGCCCCTGTAGCTGCCTGGAGACCCAGCAAAATAACTGAAGTTCTGTAGCAAGGCTCAGATTGCTTTAGTCTGAGCAAGCAAACAAGTGTCTTCAGAATAGTTAGGTAAATAAAAACTGAAAATAAAATCAAGAATGCCATTACAGATATTTGAGAATTAGGTGAAGAGACTGCAGCTGAGCTTTTAAAATATCTGTATTATGGTTGCAATAATATGTCCATAAGGTATTCATCAGAAAGTATTAATCACTCTCCCACAGGGCAGTCCTTACCCATACGCACAATACACAATTGCACAGGGCACCTGAAAATTTGGGGCACCACTGGGTCTTAATGTCCACCCACATACCTCTTCTTATTCATGTTCTGTAGCTCTGCTTCCTTCTGAGAGGAGCTAATTAAATTAAAAGTGAAGAAACCTGCCAGATCTATAAGCAGAACACTTAACCTGTGAAAAAGAGATTCAAGTGGCAATGAAGCTGTTGAACAGACATGTGCCAACCCCAGGTATATACGGTCAGTTTTTTTAATTTACTGTGTTAGTTGACAGGACCTTAGTTTAAAATTTGCTTTAAATATTTCATTAGTATATTGCTGAATATTATAAAATCACATCTCTGAAAACTGTCACCCCCTTCGCCACCAAGCTGTTGTGGGTATATGGGCACCAGTTTAACAGCACTGTGTAGGGCCCCATGTATCCTAAGGATGGCCCTGCTCTCCCTGTATAATACTCATGTAGATGGTGGAACCAAACTTTTGTACAAGTTCCCCTGTTGAATTAAATTGATACCAGCAAATCAGGGGCATTACATTACATCCATTAGGTTGTCCATTATCCTGGACAACCTAATGCTGCAACTGCAAAGCAATGTGGCTTTGCTAGGGGGGAAAATCTCACTGGTCTAACTGGACACTTGAAATGAAATCTGTATAGCACCTGGCAAATGTCTGTTTGTACATCAGATTCCCATTTACAGCTGAGACAATAAAACTAACTTCAGGGGTAATTGGTCTTCAAAACCAATGAAATTAGGAAATCTAAGTACCTCAGTATTTAGAATATGATAGAGCAGATAATACAGATGGCAAAACAAATGATATTGATATAAATAGATTGCGATAAATCATTTTATTTTTCAATGCAAGTTTTGAGTTTGCACAGCTACAGACAGACTTGCCATAGATTTGTTGCTGCATTTATATTTAATATGTTTAAAAGAGGGATGAAATAGACTTTAGAAATGCTGATGAAATATTTATAAAACCACGCAGAGCTATGTAACTGGAAGGGAGGAAAATAAAACAACTCACACACGGGATCAGCTATACAAGTATAGCTTTTAACCTGACAGTTTCCTCACAATACAATTGAATACACTGTCAGCATGTCATAGATGTGGAACACCTTAGCTGACACAGGGGGAAAAAGTAATTAAAAAGAGGATGCAATAATGTAATTCTATCCTTAACACATTCATCCCAAAATACTCCCACACATCTGTTTCACAAGAGGCATTCTTAACCATACAGTTTTCCTCCACTACAAAAGGGTTTAACAAGTTTCTCCTCTTCAAAAATCAGCAAAACACTTTTTCAAAGATGGCACTAAAGTTCAGGATTTCTTCCTTCCCTTTCTCTTTAAATATATTTAAGTACCACAGATGAAAATGTCATAAACCATATGTGACAAAGAGCAGCTTAGATGTGGCATTAAAACAATGTCCAGAAAGTTTATAAGCCCATGAAAACATCACCAAGTGAATGCAAATTATGGTGGAAAAGATACTAGACAGACACCAATTCATCTGAATAGTAAATGTGGTAACAGAATGCACTGATCCTTTCTCAGTGTTCTCTCTTTTTTAAATAGTCATACACATAAGTTAATAAGTACATAAGTGCTTTGCTGGTTGGGGCCTATAATTCTATAATCTGCTATGTCAAAAACTCAAAAATTAGGAATTTATTGAAATCCTCTGGCATAAAACAATATCACACTATTGCCAGTGCATGGGGTAGTTATCCCTTTGTGGTCTGGGAGACAAGTGGGCATAAGCCCATCCAAATCTAAAAGACCCTCCCCCCAGCCTATGGGGGATAGGGAATCCACAGAACTCTGAACACCAAATAATTATGGGGGAGGAGGGGACAAATCAAAGAAAAAACAGGGATGGGTGTGGAGGACAAAGGGCTAAAATGAGGGAACCAGACAGGGACACTCAGCAGAGATCCCCAGACAGCGCCCACTGACCCTTGAAAGCAGACTGTGCCCAATGGAACTCTGCCTGGATGCGAGAATGGATACAGGAGCAGAAATAGGCCCCACAGTTGCAGGCCCCTCCCTCAACCAACCTCTGCTCCCTGGTCTTGTAAAATGGCCAACTTGGCCATGTATGGGGTAGTTGTAGTAACCACCTTATTTCTGAATTTCTCTACATTTCTGATTTTGACATTCTTACAGCTAAATTAAAAACACCTTTACAAGAACATCTGCCACACTGCTGCAAAACATAAAGATCTGAACTGTGCATATTGATAATTTTAAAAAAATGCTGAGGGTTAAAGACTGAAATACTTACCTATGCCTGCTATTATTTTATAAAGATGATTTGCTGAAAAATGGATTAACAGGATCAGAAAGTCAACTGTGACCAAGCTCATGCAAAGGATAACAGAAATCCATTCTTGCAACCGTTTACCTAAAATGAGAAAAAAATAATTTTAGTGTAAACTGAATGGAGAGAAAGGAGGAGGAAATCATGGAAAGAGGCAGTGGGAAAAAAAGTGAAAAATTAAAAGAATAAACTACAAATATGTTACAAGTACAATTCATCCTACTAAAAATTATTTGTCCTTCTGATGCAAGTCCCTAGTAAAATTTGCCCAGAACATAGGTGTTAAAGATGTGCAAGTGAGTGGATCAGAAGAAAAAGAAATAACCCATTGCAGTTAGCAAAGTCTTCTTCTTGAGATGTAATGTTTATAATGAGAAAAATAATGCTTAGTTATGAGGCCTGAACTCTCCCATCTTGAAAGCTATCATTTCCTGCGGGCACCTACATAAAGGAAGGATTAAGCAAAGCTGAAGTTAACTTGTTGTCCACTGAGGGGCAAGTTAGTGCTCAAGCAATCTTTCAGATTAAGATGATGTAGTACGTATAAGGCTTTAGTCTTGCTCTGGGTTCCACTGCACTTTTCTATCTCCTCAATATGTGTTTTCCTAGATGCGGTGAAAAGAGACATAGCTTGTTGGTCTGGTCCATTATATCTCAAGAATCCCTCAATTTATCATCTTTCTCATGAGGTCATGGGAGGAAATTGCTAGGACACAGTCATTAAAACTGTGTTTTATACTCCTTCAAAATAATTTAAATCCTAAATAAGTCAAATTTAGCATACTAGGGATGTAAAATCCCGTTTAATCAGTTAACCAATTAAAATTACATTTAACTGGTTAACTGATTAAGTATGATCCCGTGGCCCTGCAGGGCAGCTGGTTAATTAGTTACCGATAATCAGGGCTCGACAAATTATACAATCTACTTGCCCGGGGCGAGTAGATTGTAACCCGGAAGAGCCAGGTTCCGGTGATCTGCGCATGCGCAGATCGCCAGACAGTGCAGCTGGCGAGCAGGGCTCGCCGCGGTTTGGCGAGCCCTGCCTATAATCATTACCCGATGAGGTGATCCCTACTGTGAACCCAAGTATAAATGTCAGCCACACATAGGATATTTCGCAGAGTCATGGTATCACATCTTGTCTTCCCACAGTCTAGTATCTCTTCAGTTTACAGTCAGTCCCCGGGTTACGTACAAGATAGGGACTGTAAGTTTGTTCTTAAGTTGAATTTGTAAGTAAGTCGGAACTGGTACATATTGTAGGGGAAACTCTAGCCAAACATTTCTCCAGAGCTCAGTTTTATTCTCCCACACCTCACTTCCCTCAGTCCTTTATTCTCAAGCTGAGGTATCTGCTGAGAAAAGCCGCTCCGCGTTTCCCTGGTCTCCTGGGGGCGGAGCGCTAGCTTCGCGTCTCCCTGGTCTGCTGCGGGGAAGCCTCACCCCGTCTGTAAGTAGGGATCCGATGTAAGTCGGATCCATGTAACCCGGGGACTGCCTGTACTCACAGCAGAGGCCAGGGCCACAAGCTTCAGCCGCAAAGGCTCTCGCACCTGGTGGGTCCTAATATATACTCTCCAATTGCCTTCAACTCCAAATAATCATGCTGAAATCCATTTCTCTCACCTGGCCTCCTAACTGCTATAGAATCTCCTTCTGGGTTTGTGGCCTATTTTCCTCCTAAGCTGGAGGATTAGAGCTCCAGAACTATCACCCTGAGCTGTCTCCTCACCAGTCACTGCTCATCTGATTCATCGCATTATTCCCCAGGAGGATCACAGCTCTGGTTGGCTGCGAATCACCGTTTGCGACCAATGTGAGCAGTGGGAAGCTTCATAGACCGAAACACCACTTCCTGCTGCTCACATTGGTTGGAATGGCGATTCACGGCCAAGGAGAGCTGTGATCCTCCAATGCCTGCGGAAGCACAGGTAAACATGGAGGTGGGGGCCCACCAGGGACTAATCCTACAGATCAGATCCAGCCCACGGGCTGAAATTTGCCCATCTCTGTGATAGTCCATTACTTATTCGGATTATTTATGAACTAATGGCCTCAACTAACAAAAACATCTCTTCTGGCACTTTCTGGAAAATCACCTCATATGATAAGAGTACGGGAAAAGTGAAACTATTAACTAAAATCAGTACTATTAACTAAAATCAGTAAGTTAGTTAACTCTTTTCAAAGGGTCTTTACAGTAAGTCCTATATTGATTTTCTAAAAACTAAAGCATCCTAATAGCCATCTCTCCTTATTACTTGCATGCCACCAGCTGACTGTACGACTCCAGTTACTGAATTCAGGCGAGACTGTTTTACTGAATTTAAAGAACTCTTCATAGAAACCAAGAACTTGATTCTGCTCCCATTGACTTCAATGGTGAATGACTGAGCCTTTTAAGATAGCACTACACCAAGTTAAAATGTCAATGTTATAGATACCTATTAAGAAATTTAGAAGCTTTTAATTGCATAAGAAACCACAAGCACTTTAGCGTAGAAACCCAGTACCATAAATGGGCTAACCACAGCATAGTAGAATCAACCTTCAAATGCACATTACATTAGTTGGTAGACTTAGATTAAAGTTCCACAATCACATATAGCATGTTATTAAATCACACACAGTGCAATAGAAGCAATTCTCTATTGCTGAATCTACTAAACTGATTTATACTCAGAAAGTTTAACTGAACAGCTGGGAGACTGCCACACATTTGCTCCTTCTCAAAGAACTCTTGCCATGCAAGTCACTGATATAAATGCCATTTGGGCAGGTTTTAGACAGGTAAAAGGTTTAGAGTTTTAAAAAGAAACTTCAGTGTGATAGGACAACAAGCATACTATAGGGAGTGTATCCCACTTCTTATGCACAAATATATTTTATTACAGTCACATCACAAAAAAAAGCCCAACAGCATTAGATTAGACATGTGCAATAACACAACCTGTCACTGTTCACTGTGATTAGAATATGATTTCACCATTCTGAAGCACATTCTCTACCTTGCAGTCAGCGGCACCTTTCCTTCTCACTGTATTAATGATGTTTGTTTTAACAAATTACCTGCACAGCTGTCAATATGTTGATGAACAAATATAGGAGCACTTATGATGAAAATGCTTCTATTCTACTACACACACACAAAAAAAATACTTACAAGGTTTGTTCTAGTTTCTGATTTATGTTTCATTTCCGAAAAGCACATACAAATACTGAAAACATTTTTGTGTTTCCTACTTGCCAATATAGACAAACTTGCTTGAAAGGCCTGATTCTCCCAGCTCAAAACATCTAACTGATTAAGTATGTTAAGGACTAGTCGAGTAGTCAATGATCCAATAAGCAAATGAAAATGCTTATTGGACAGTCGACCCCCCCCTTGCTGCCTCTATAATATAACAGAAGCAGCAAGGAATGGGGGGAAAGAGGGTACTTCAAAGCGACAGAGCCACACACCTGATCCCGGGCTCTGTGCGTCACTACCCCTTTGAAACACTACCTCGGTGTTTCAAAGCGGCAGTGCCACACGAAGCTGACCCTGGGCTCCTTCCAGCGCTGCCCCTTTGAAACGCTGAAGAGACATTTCAAAGGGGCAGCGCCGCAGAGAGCCTGGGATCAGCTGTGCAGCACTGCCCCTTTGAAATGCTGCTGCGGTGTTTCAAAGGAGCAGTGCCAAGTGGAGCCCGGGGTCAGCTGGGGAGTCCCCAGCTGATCCTAGGCTTCTTGCAGAGTTGCCGCTTTGAAATGCTGAGCGGAGCCCTAGGGAAAGTCCCTAGGGGTATGTCTACACTACCATCCTAGTTCGAACTAGGGTGGTTAATGTAGGCATTCGAAGTTGCAGATGAAGCCTAATTAGAAAGCCTAATTCGAACTACCTACTCCGTGCCGCATGTAGCCGCGGGCACGGAGTCCGCACTAACGGGGATTTAAAAATGGCGGCACCCGGCAAGATGCAAATGAAGCCCAGGGTATTTAAATCCTGGGCTTCATTTGCAACTTCGAATGCCTACATTAACCACCCTAGTTCGACCTAGCTGACTGTGGGCTCCACATGGCCTTGCCGCTTTGAAACGACTTCCCGCTGGCTCCAGGCTGCAGCCGGAGTTCTGCATTCCTCCTCCAGTGGGGGCTCTTGTACATTTCAAAGGCGGAATGCAGAAGTATCTATCAACTAGTCAAGTAGTCAATGGAAATTTCATCGACTACTCGACTAGTAAATTACTCGTTAGTTAACATCCTTATTATTGATGTCCTGATAAGTTACACCAAGGGTGAACTAAAGCCTTTCAGCGGGCCCAGCCCGTATAGTTCTTTGATCTGGCCTGTGCAGCAGTTTCTGGCCCCACCCTCTAACGTGTTGCCTTGGAGCTGGGGATGCGAGAGCCCTTTCAACTGCTTTTATTTAAAGGGCCTGCACCTTCCCCAGAGCTGCCAGGAAATGGTTGAAAGAGCTCACATGTCCAGGCTCCCAAGCAACGGGCCAGCGGTGCCGGGGACATGGTGAGTCCTTAAAATAGAAGCAGGTGAAAGGGCTCTCACATCCCAGCTCCCAGTTAGCGGCGGGGCCAGGAGCAGCGAGCCCTTTAAATAGCAGGAGTTGAAAGGGCTCGCAGCTCCTGTCCCCTGATAACATGATGCCTGGGAACGCAGGGAAGGCAGGAGCCCTTTCAACTCCTACTATTTAAAGGCCCCACCCCATCCACTCGAGGCCCACAAGGAGTTGAAAGGGCTCGCAGCTCCTGTCCCCTGATAACATGATGCCTGGGAACGCAGGGAAGGCAGGAGCCCTTTCAACTCCTACTATTTAAAGGCCCCACCCCATCCACTCGAGGCCCACAACCACTTCAAAACATTTTGAAGTGCCCCCCCCTTGCAAAATTATTGCCCACTCCTGAGTTACACACTATTTATATGACTATTTATGGCTGTATTATAAATTGAAGAAACATTGCTAGAATAAGCAGATATGAAAAATATGGAGTTGTTTGTTAGCAAGTAAAATTTATACCAATGAAGAAACTATATTCCATTAACTTTAAAATTAGACTCTGTCAAGAGATTTTTCATTTTATTTG